CTCCGGCGTCCCCGGCCTTTGAGGGCGGCGGCTCCGCCCCGGGGGCGGCCCCGTGGGGGGGCGCGGAGAGGAAGGGGTGGGGAAGACACGCACGAACACACACACCACCCCCCCCTCCCCGGCCACGCGTGAGGGTCAGTCCCATGGGGACCGTCTCAGCCGGCGCTTCGAAAGAGCCGTGCGCCGTTTGCAGACAGCCTTAAAAGTTTTCAAACTCCCCCCCAGAGGAAGGCAGGAGCGCCGGAGGGAAACGACTTCAGAGAAGAAGTGGTTTTTGGGGNCGGGGGGGGGAAGGAAAAAAAAAATTAAAAAAAAAAAAAAGTTCGCTACAACTTGTAACCCTCCTCCTCGGTTTATGAAAACGAAGCAGCAGCAGGCAGGGATCTCGCCCCTTCTCATCCCCCCCAAGCCCTCAGGAGGGTTTCCCTCGCAGGAATGAAGACGGATGGAAATCTACACCACCTTCCTCCTGTAATACTAATCAAAAGGAGAAACCCTGGGGTCAGAGGTCTCAGTGCTGATAGAGAAAGGCTGATATTTATATTCACAATGGTCCTGCTTGGCACTACGTGTGATTTGAACGTCACCCATGTATTCATCTGCAGTGATTTCCAGCACCTGGGACCAGGCTTTGTGTCTGTCTTTGTGTGTGCTCCCGGAAGCATTTCTAGCAACTTTTTTATCTCCTTTGAGATCCCTTACAGATAGGGTTTTTTCAGGTTGCTTTTGATTCGATACATGTATTTTGATTTTACACAAGTACTGATTGCTTTAGAGAGGCTCTCAGAAGCAGCGCAGAAAAGGCTTTTAAAAAGTAGTATTTAATGTTTGCCCTGAGCAGGCTCCTATTTGATCTGAGAAAAAAAACCAAACCAAACGTGAAGAACTAAAAGTTGTGTTTTACTCAGGAAATATCAGGTCTGCAAATTCAATTCTTTCAGATCACAACAGCGATCTCCAGCTTTTCCAGTGTGCAAAGGAAAAGGAGACGCTGCGGAGCTGATGTCTTTAAGCAGCAGCGTGTGAGTGGCTCGGTACGGGGGTTCCCCAGCCGGCAGCCCGGGGTCACCTTCAGACTCCAGAAAAACATTTTTTTAAGATGTTAACACAATGGCAAGGCTAAAAGCAACTCCCGGGTTTCATGACCGTGCTCAGGCAGGGGACCCCAGCGCAGGAGAGGAGTGTATGTTCCATAGGTAATGACACAAGTCTAAATTTTTAGGGGACACCTACACAAGCGCCTCGCTGGCATGGCCAGCCGCTCCACAGGTTTCCCTTTGAATTTCTGGCCCCGGGCTGACGGCTCCCCCGTGAAACCTCTCCCGCAGCCTCTTCTCCCCAGCGCTTCCCACCACAACTCATCGGCAGCGGTGGCTTCTGTGCCCCGCGGGAGCTGCCTGAGCTCCTGCGTGGGATGGGGTGCTGCTCCACGGCACGGTGGGGCCCAAAGGCCACTTTTTGGCCCCGGGTCTCCTCCCAGGACCAAGAGCCCATCTGGCCCAGCCAGGGAGCATCCCGATCCAGATTTTCAGCAAAGGGCTATCCATCAGTTTCTAGCAAGGTTTGTAACCTGGCTTTGGAAAGCATCACCGCGGCTGACACCAACAAGGGTCCTTGGTAGTATGAGCATGACGACTAGTTTCTTACTAAAAATATTCTTAACAAAACTAACTTAAAAGGAAATACTACCCATGTTTTGAAATACTTGCAAGGGGAAGCGCTCTTCTCTTCGACAGGGACAGAGACAGCGAGGTTTTATGGGAACTGATGCAAACCTCAGGGCATTTGAGAAGAGCTTGTCACAGCTGGTTCTCCCCAAGCCCTCACAGGAGGAAGAGCAGGCAAGAAGCATCACCTCATTTAAACTGCCAATATTTATTCAGCATCTCACACAACCTCAGCGAAACCAGGTCCAGGGTGGAGACAGAAAAGGACCTTAAAGCTTAATGGGTTCTCACAAAAACTCATCGTTACCTGTGCACGAGGGTGTCGATGATACGTGTCCGTCTGTCTGAGCATCCCTGTCTTCCCACGCACCCTCAGTGGCGGCTGTCTGCCCTGGCAGAGAGGGGCTTTCCTTTCACACAGCAGCAGGGCATGCTTGCAAAGGGGAAAAAGAGGAGCAGAGATGATGGCCTCCTCTTCTGTTTGCACCAGCTCTGCCTTTGCTCCCCCCCAAAACCCTCCACCAACATACCCTGTAGATATAGGGGCCACCCCATAGACAGACAGCTTAACCGCTCTGCCCCCCCATGTATCGCACCAGATGGATTTAGAGGTCTTAGGGGTGGAATTGCAGAAATTTAGCTTAAAGTGACTGGAACCAGGTAAGGTGAGAGAAACCCCAGCCCACGGTGAGGATCTGGCTGCCCCACTGCATGGCAAAAATATGGTTCAGCTTCCCCAGTTGCTTTAGGTGACTCAGTAAAGCATGAAAGAAAAAAACCCAAACCAGCTCAAAGCAGCTTTTACTGCTTTGGCAGGGCTTTCTGCAGGGTACCGTAAATTTGAGGAGCGTATTGAACTGGGGATGTATTGCCATTAGTATTAAAGCAACAAACTGAAGGCAGCTGCTGTGTGTGCAGCTCACGTACCAAACTCAGCAACCGCCCTGCCTTGGCTTATTTCCTTAAAGGAATAAATAAGAATTAAAGGTAGGCAGTATTTTAAAAAGTAGGGAATGCTTTTGATTAAGGACTTCTCCTTTGGCTCTGGCTTTGCACTGTGCAGTAACACTCATGGTAGAAGTTCTCAAATCCATGTTTTGAAAAGCTGAAAATGAAAAAAAAAAAAAAAAAGGCAATTGAATTCTTCTGCTTCAGAGCATTATAGATTTTTAAAGATACATATTTTGAAAACCACACCACTGTCCCATTATTTTTTTCTTAAGTTCAGAAATGACTTTAACGTAATAATACTTGACAGGATGATTTTTTCCATAAAGGCTTTGTGATGGCAGATCATTAGTTCAGATATTTCTTTTATTGGTTTATTTTCAGATTTTCAGTAAGTGCCTTGATGCTGGAAGCATTTGCAGGGCCATTATGCAGCCCCACCGTGGGTCGGGGGGCCCCCCAGCTGGGGGACACCAGCAACGCCATATTATTTAGCTGATGCTAGTAATAAATTAAAAAATGGCAATTTTTCCAAAGTAAGGAGCACGTGGCCAAACCCCAGGCTGGGCTAGCTTTGTAGAAAGGCTTAATCAAGCAACTGTAATTGGGAAAACATGCATAAAAGTGCAGATTGCTGATTCAGAAACAGAAAGAGGGGCAGCCGACAAATGCCTCTTTCTTTGGTCCAGACTCAAAGTATTGGTGCCACACATTTGGGTTTCCATGACCAGAATAGTGAACCAAAAAAAAAAAAATATCAGCATCTGGATTTGTGGCACGACTTTGTCCCTCACCTTTTCAGAAGATGATTTCAATAGATGCAGGAATGGATTTATAAATGGAAATTTCCTTACCAAATGGCTTCAGCTACCCTCAGCTTAGCACTGACCGGAGACACCAAGGAAGCCCCCGCTGGCACCCATCAGTGTTTCCTCGTGCACCCAGTGTGTGTTTTGCAGGTAGTTGGGGTCCTGCATGAATCCTGCAGGAAGCCCAAGCCCAGATCCTCGGTGCGACCCATTTTTCCAAGCATGGTGGGAGGCGAGCGTGTGAGACGAGGTGCTGCGCGCAGCTGGGGATGCTGAGGTCTGTGAGCATCCCAGCAAAGGAAAATACTGGAGAAGCGGATGAAAGGCAAACTAAAAGGGAAACAAAGTAGAAATAACAGTAAGTCCCCCTACCATTTGCCTGGAAATCAAGTCAGAGATAAAGCTGTCTGCCGCAGAAATGGAACGGGCTCTTCTTTTTTCCAACCCCACCCTCAGAGGGGTACAAGCTGCCCAGCAAATCCCACGTCCCTGTGCCGGGCTGGATGCTGGCTTCATCCTTCCTGGCTCAGCTGGTGCAGGGTGTGGGGATGCGGGGGTGCACGGACGTGCGCAGGCAGTTCAGGTCCCGGTACCGACGGATGGGATGTGACATGAGGGCAACCGTCCCACAGATGTTCCCATCCACAGATTCCCACCAAGGCTGGGTTTTTCCAGCCTTCTCCGTGCAGCTACCCAAACTGAGAGGCACCCGTCCTCTGTCCTCTTCTCTGTTTTGGACCAGCAATGGGGATCCCTTGAATGTTATGGGGGGAGCAGCCAACCTCTTCCCACCGGGATGCTGCTGGAAAGCAGGGGTCAGGGCTCAGGCCACCGCATGGGATCTAAGAAGAGATTTCCCAAAGGAAAAGCCGACATTTCCCCCAACCATATGCTGCTCAATCCTACCCAGCCAGGGGCTACCATCTCAGTTACAGTTAACGACTTTCATTATTTCAGTCTTCTACTAGAATTTAGTGTTGTCCAAATAAAGTGGGGGCTGTACAGCCTCCACGGGGCTCTCCTCTACTCACCGCTGCCTGAGTCTTACCCACCTAAGCAAATGGGAAGGGAAAGAGGCAGCCCCAAGGTGATGCTGAGCAGAGATTACAGAGTTAACTTTACTCCTCCATTCAGTGAAACTAAATTGGATTTGCCAAGCTAGCAGCCCCTCTCCTGCCTTCTCTGGCTGGTATCAATCTAATTAAAATGCTCGTTCTCCCACGCAGCTTTTCTTCTCCTGAATTCAACTTACTGGAAAAGCAGAAAAAACAGGCTCTGAAGGGTCAAGGCTGGGGTCAGCTGGCAGAGCTCATCGCAAATGGCCAAAGCAGCATCAGCACAGTGGCATCGGAGTGAGGACCCCGTCACGGGGCTGGGAGGGACCATGGCAGCATCTCTGCTTTCCCACGCAGGCTTCTCAAATGCGGGTGCTTGAAAGCCACATCTAACAAAGCCCGAGGACAGCTGATGCAGGGGTGTCAAAGGCAGAGTAGCGTTCATGTCGGGAAGAGACTCCTCAAGTCAGCAGAAGCCTCTTCTTCAGTTTGCTGTGGGATATGACATAAGAAATTAAGTTTTGTGATAGCACAGCCCTTGCTGTGCCCAAGACGCCTCTAAAAAATGCGCTTCCCCCTTCATCTGGCATGCAGAGACTCACGCTTTCTCTCTTTTTGAAAATATGGGGCCTCAGTGTTCCGCTTCTTGGTGCTGATGAGCATCGATGCTCTTACAGCGATTTCTCTTCGGTACTTGGCACCGGGGGAATTTGCACCCCCAGGGCAGTGGCAGCCCCTGCGGGGTCTCTCTGATGCAGCAGGAGCAACCACGGGTAGGATGTCCCGGGGAGGGGGTGAGCTGGCAGCCCAGGTATGGCGAAGCAAAGGGACTTGCCACAGGCTGCCCACGGCAGGGAAAGGACGGCAATCCCGGTTCCCACCCAGGCAAGCGCCCTGTGCCAAGGACCAGCTTGTCCCCAGCTGCGTGCTGATGGAGAACCGACAGCTCTGCCCTGAATGCAGAGGAAAACAGTCGCTTGTTTTAAAGAGATTTCATTTCAGCAGGCAGAGACAGAGAAGCTGATCCCTCCCCTCTTTTCTCTTCCTCCAAGCCTTGGCCTCTTTCCACCAGCTGGGATTTTGCCTCCCCTCACCACGTGTGACCCCGGCGCCTCTGGGATGTCTTGCATCCCCGAGGAGCACTTGGACGCACCCCCCCCAGGCTGCTTTCTAGGGACTTGCCATCAGTTTTTACACTTCTTGACTTGCTTCACTGCCCTGCAGCTCACCGTGAGACCTCACTTTTGCATGTGTTCACCCCATTCAGATGCAAATTCGCGGGTCCCTGAACACACAACGCCGGCCGGGGAGTTCCCGATGGCACACCACATGTGGCTCCACATCTTTTACCAGGTACCACCGGGTTTCAGCACGGGAGGCCCTGCTGAAGCTGGCACCGCTTAGTTCCCAGAGCCTCGGACAATCCGGGAGCGTTTAGCTTTTCAGCAATTCTCAGAATAACCCCAAATAAATAAATAGCCAAAGTAAATGACTAAACAAGCACTGCCTCCAAGATGAAGTATTGCCTTCAACACCCTCCGGCCCTTCTGCCCTTGTTACAGCCCGGCCATGGGCAAGGACGAGGAGCAGCCCCGTGAGGACAAGCCTGCAGCCCCAGTGCCTTCAGCTGAGGTGCTCCGGAGAGTTTTCCACCCATTTCTGTGTCTCAAGGGATCAGAATGGGGCATGGAAGGAGAGCACAAGGTGGCAGGAGTCCCACAGCAAAATCCATTGAAGCCTCAACACTGCCAGTGAACCCTCAAGGCTGAAAAACTACCCTTCAGAGCAGGGGAAACCTCAGTTTCATGAAGGGAAAAGAAGATTTCCACGTGCAACGATGGGAGCAGCTTTTTGAGCCTCCAGCCGTCAGCAGTGCCTGCTGAAGTGAGGCGCAGATGTGGCCCAAGGGTCAGGGAGCCCTGGCTGTTTGGTGAAGCTGGTTGCTCTCAACAAAAAATGAACATACCCTTCTCTGCCCCCCAGGGAAGTCACCCTGGCCACTGCGGGGTCCTGCCCTGCCTGTGGTCATGGTGGTGTTGGAAATGTCGGACGCTGGTGGAGGCTGAGGTGGAAAGTCACCCGCTGTGGCGCTGGCGAGACGCTGACGTTGGGAAGAGGCACGAGGGACCGCGGGAGGATGGGCACAGGGATGAGGAGGAAAGTTGGGAAGGTGCCTGGCAAACCTTCCTATGATCTCTTATATCCAGGATGGGGAGGTGGAGGCCAACCCAAGGCAGCGCTTTTCTCTCTTAAGCAGGACGCAAGTTAATGTTTATGCGACAGGCTGAAGGCATTTTAATTATCCGGTGAGCAGTTGTGAGACTTGCTGGCAATGCCATGGGGGCATCCAAAGGAGTTGGGAGGGTTTTGGCTGGGCACGGGCTGGGCAGCGAGGCCCTGGGCACCAGCTGCCTGACGGAGCTACGGAAAGGGCTCACAGGGAAGGGGCTGATGGTGCTGAGGGAACGATTTGGACAACTGGGTTTTGTCATCTACATTTGAAGGAAAGAGGAGGTCGTCACCGTGTTGATGTAGCAATTCTCATCCTCCCCATTTACAGACTCTTTCTTAGGGCAGGGAAGGACCACTCTGCTTTCCAGGCCTGACCAGCAAGAGTCTGGCAATAAACGATAAGCTCTGGTACTCACCTGCGCTGTATTTGTTAGAGATGCCCTGGGCTCCAGGAGAAGCGAAGGACAGTGTCGCTACCTGAAACCCCTCAGTTTCAGCACGAGCAGAGGATAATTTCCAGAGGTGGGATTCAGGCACGGCCCACCCAGCATGAGCATCCCTGGGCATGGGGAAAGCAGCACGGCTCTCTCACGACCACAAGAAAGCAGCGTTGCAAATGGGAGCAGAGCTTCCTAGTATTTTCCTAGAAAACGTTTCTCAATAGCTTTTTTTTCTGTGCAACCGGAGAGAGAAATCATCTCCATATCGATCAATTAATAAGCAGCGGCAGCAAGAGCTTGCGCCGATGGTAGCTCTCAGTTAAGCGCGGTGGGTTGCGCTGATTTGTGACTAATGGGCCACATTAATTCCCAAATCATCTTAGCCCGGCTGGATGGCTCTGGTGGAGGGGGAAGATTTAAGACAATTGCTCTTTCCATCTTAGGAAGCAGCCATTTACTGTTGTTACTGCACATCGGGGAATACTTTAAAACGCTCAAAATCCATCAGCCAGATTTTAACCTTCTGTAGTGGGGAGCGGGACATAGGTCCTGCAGATGTGGCATAGAGCTGT